GTTTCTAATATCACTAATGATGTTTTTTATGTCACTAATGTCTTGAGAATTTTGATTATGATTCTTTTTAATGTCACTATTTATAGTAGCTTGAGTTTCCATAAATTGTTGCAAGGGTATCTTTAAACTCAACTTAGAAGGTTGATTATAAGGAACAAAAGTATCATTTTTCCAACTAAAATTTGGATGATTCCTCCAACCCAAATTGTAAGTTTAAGTAAAATGGGTGGAAAAAGGCTCTTTAGTTATATTTTTAGCATTTGCTTGATCATGCAACACCTTTAAAAGCTGGAATAATGGACAATCATTTGTAGAGTGTCCCATGGTCTCACAAATACTACAAAATTATTAATTTTAGGCACATACATGACTTCATTAACTTTCCTTAATTCCATGGCTTCAAGTTTTCTAGTTAAACTAGCTACCCTAATACTAAGGTCATCTTCTCCCTTAAGCTGATGCTCATCTCCCCTATATGGTTGGTAAAAGTCTTGGATTTTTTTAAAAGTATTAGTGGTGTCCCAAGATTGGGCATTTTATGCTAAAAAGTCAAAATAATTAAAGTAAGCGGAAGTGATAGATTGTTCACATGAAACGGATTTACTTTGAATCCACAAAGTAGGGTGTTTTGAATCCATAAAATAAGAGATAAATTCATAATGAATTGTGAAATATTATTGATAAAAGGTTAAATTCTGCTCTTGCAATACATGAATATTTATAATAGAGTAAACCTAAAGGAAATTAAAATCTAATCCTATAAGGAAACTAATCCTAAAAATAAGGATAAAAATAAATTCTCTCTAAAAAAAATCCGAAAAAATAGAACAAGAAATCTAATAAATAAAAAATACCAAATCTAAAATTTTAGAGCATTTGGACTTCGTTAAGGCCTCAAACAAAAATCTCAAAATAATCGGCAGACCTCCTATAACACAATAAAATGCAATTTTGGAGCCCTAAATAAAGGTTTTTAGCCGAAAACCAACATGGCTTACAAGCATTAGCTAGTGGGTTTTTTTCAATGCCTCGTTTCCACCAAAAAACACTATTGGTTTATCAAAACAGACCCGTCAAACTGTTTGTCGAACTGTGCAGAATTCTGTCCGACATCAATAATCAAAAGCCTCGTCGAGATTTTTGTCAAAAAAAATTCACCATTGCACATCATCTCAACAAATTGACTCATTTTAGCAGTTAAACTATCATAGAATTTTTTTTATAAATACTCCAAATTTCATAGCCATGATGTGGGCAAGAATTTAATAAATCTTTAAAACGTTCCCAACATTGGTAAAAAGTTTCATTTTCGTATTGAGAAAAATTCATAATTTGTCTTTTTAAAGCATTTGTCATATGAATTGGGAAAAACTTTTTGAAAAATTAAGTTAGCATCTCTTGTCATGAACCAATTGATCTAGGTCTCAAAAAACTAAACCAAATTTTCGCTTTCTCTTGAAAGGAAAAAGGAAACAACTTCAACCTAATAGTCTCTTCAGTACAGTTTTGATTAGGGAAAGTAGCACGAACTTCTTCAAATTCTTTATTATGCAAATAAGGATTTTCATATTCTAAACCACCAAGTTTTGGTAGCAATTTAAGTAGTTCTAGTAGGTTGCAAATAATCTATAAGAGCATCTCCAGTCGTATGTTAAAATATTTTTTTTCTCTAAAATATGCACTGTCACATATGATGTGTAAATTTATTTTATCTCCAGCAGTTTGTTAAGATACACTGCCATATCACCAATGTGTAAAATTATTTTTTTACACAGCCATATCAGTATATTTCTTTTCTCCTCTCTCATTCTCATTTCATTAAGGCATCAACCCTATATTAAGTAAGTTTGTAAAAATTATGTGGGGTCCAGACATGATATTGGTAGATTGTTATTGGGGGATATATTTTTATAAAGAGGTATAAAACAAGCATGTTGAGCAACTTGGAAATTATTATATTCATGATTATTAGCATTACTATTTTCAATGCCATCCATGTTGTCAAGTCTGTGATCATGAACAGAAGAATCAAATAAATTACCAAACAAATTTTTAGACTCAACTCTGACTAAACGATGAGTATAATCACGATACCAATATTGCATAAAATAAAAAATAAAAAAAAAACAAAAAATAAAAAAAAATAAAATGAATAATAAAAACTAAAACTAAAAGTGTGGAAAGAGTTCATCAGATTTGCGAAGAAGTTCGAAAATCAACAAACCTCCACCAAAAGAAGTAATTCTGATTTTTTTTATTTTTTTTTATGCATTATTGAAGTAACTTCAGTACTTTTTGATTGAAGTCCAAGTGCTCTTCGATCGATCGAATTTGTTGTAGCTTTAATCCCTTCACCAAAACGTGTTTCGCCACTAACTCTCTGATAACGGCGATAAAAACTTGTTGCAACTTTTATAGTTTTATATTACTCCCAGGTGTAGAATGACGCAACATAATATATACTCAGTAAGCCCGAGGTCGAACTAGAGGGAATGGGGAAACAATAATTAATGGTGAAGTAAAAAGAAAAATAATTTAAAAGGTTTTTGAATATTTGTAGAGTTGATAATAGAGAATTGATTTTGAATAAAAATAATATTTGTAAAGCACTAAGGTTTTAGAGATTCACACACAATATATCCAGTTTTGACCTGTTTGAAGTGTGATTCACTGTTTTACAAAACTTTTATTAAACACAAAATTGACGGGCTTTAATTCTTATTTTCATAAATGCTAAGGTTGTGCAATTCCAAGTTTTGAGTCAAAGATTATGACGACAACACTGAAGCTGGCCCAGAACTTTCTGCCCAAGTAGATTTCGTATTTTATTATAAAAGTTCCTTTTCTTCATGTAACGTCCCAAATGAATGTTTCTTGTTGTAAACTCTTTCAGAGTTCTTCTAGAATCCTCCTTGAATGATCTTGGCCATTAAATCTTTATGTGGGTCCGATCTTTTGCATTTCTTTACCGTAAATTGAAGTTATATTTGGGTCGATCGATGCTCATGATACTTCGATCAAGGCTAGCTCTAATTTTCCTACAAAATGAAATATATAATAATAATACTAATATGATGAAAAATAAACTTATATATCATAATAAACTTGGTTACCACCAATATCAAAACAGGTTGCCTATAAACCATTCTTGAGTATTTGTTGTTGTCCAAGGGGCCTTCAATCTACAATGATTGTCGTTAGAGTGGTTATTGTCAAATCAATCAATTCCCATCAGATCAGGGTCAACCAAGATTCTGATAATAATTAACATAACGAGAGTTATAAAGTCGTTCTCAAAGGAATAAGGGATAACTTTGAACCCACAAAGGTGTAACTTTGAATCTACAAAGTTGAAGAAATTCACATATAATTATGATATATTATTGATAATTGAATTAAATTATTTTTCTATTCTTTGTAGTACATATATCTATAATAAACAAAACCTTAAAACTTTACAAAAAAAACTAATAGCATAAAGAAACTTAAATAGCAAAATGAAACCAATACTAATAAAAATAAGCCTAAAATAAAAAAAAATTTCTAAAAATTATGAAAAAAAAATAGATTAAAAAACCTAATAAATAAAAACTTCTAAATATGAAATTTGAGATGAATTCGACTTTGTTTAGGCCTCGAACAAAAAATTCTTAAATATAAGCAGGCCTTGATAAAACAAGAAGATGCGATTTCGGAATCATAAAAAGATGGTTTTCAGCCAAAAGATAGCATGGCCACTAATTAAAGCCAGTGGGATTTGCTCAATGGATCATTTCCACCTTAAAAAAATTTATTTATTTTTGGTCAAAAACAGAGTAATCGAACTGACTGAAATTCTGTCATGCATTGAGACCAAATTATGGCAAATTTTTTTTTTTTTTTTTTTTTTTTTTTCCTTTTTCAACAAAACATATCTTTAGTTAAAGTGATCCTCTAAAAAATAAGCTTTAATATTATTTGGATAAAGCAGCTGTCCTAACATTCAAAACCATTTTCCTATGTTCGACAGAGCACTGACCAATTTTCTTTTTTATAAAGGCTAAAAAAAAAAAAAATCTTTTTTATATTGTTAAATTTACTCATATGTATTGATTACAAGAATTCTTCCACAATTTTTATTTTTTATGTTGTCATACATAACTCTTCCAAACTTTCATTTAATGATAAATTTCTGTAAGCATTTATTGCTGTTAGGATTTTTTTTTTTTTTCGGAATAAAAGTGGCATCAAGGTATCCACCAGAAAATATTTAATGCTACTATAGTGAGATATTATTACTTATATGCTGTTTGATAACTCAAATTGCTTAATGTTAAATGAATTAAACCTGTATCTAATTAAGCCCTTTTGATAATGTAATTTAAGTATAAAATTATAAACATCACTGAAAATAGAATAAAATTTCAAGTGACAGAGACATCATTTATTGAATGCTGAAAATTGAAAAAGATATCAAAACAAAAAAGAAATTTAATTACCACTTAAAACCTTCAGCACATAAATTTGATTACCACTTGAAACCTTCAGCACATAAATTTAGCTCCTGAAACTTTTAGTACTTAATTTTCACTTTAATCAAGAATATAAACACTCATACACGAAGAATACATGCATTTGTGGATGGTCGGGAGAACCGATTGGATTGGCGACTGTTATCAATTATAGCATTACTCGTGACACATAATAGAGGCCCACTGAAATAGTTATATTCTTGCTTATGTAATGAAATATGATTAGTTGATAACATCGAAGAAGACATCGTAGTCCTGGTGTAAGGAAGAATTTTTGGGGACCCCTAGGTGTAACCTTGGTCTCAATATAACATGAGTGGTTCTATAAAACTGCTTCCATCCCATAAGGATAAGGGAGGAAGTATGAATTCAAGCAATTCAAGAGGAAAATTTATGAAGTCAACAACAAAGTAATGTATATATATATATATTTTTTCCTTTTAAAAAAAATAAAAATAAAAAAACAACCCTGGGTTTCATATCAAGTACTTAACAACCGAAAAAAAAAAGTTTTTATTAACATAAATTTCCAAAACCATTTCTCAGAGCAAGCCAACTAGCATTCATTGAACATAATTATTAACATAACCAGTAATACAGAAGAAGCTTGCTCTTACATTACAACCTTCAAAGAAATTGTTACAGGGAAGCAGGGGAATTCTCAGTTATAAACTTGACCGAGACACTGTTGACACAATGGCGTTCATCGGTGGGAGTCTGAAACCCTTCACCTTTAAAAACATGGCCCAGATGCCCACCGCAGGCTGCGCATGTAATTTCAGTTCTCCTCCCATCCGGGTCCGGCTGAAAATTTGCATTTCTTATTTTCAAATACCAACAGGGATGTCATTACAATGAACAATTTCACAACAAAAATAGTTACTCACATTGCGATTAATGGCTCCAGGAAGACCCTCGAAGAAAGCAGGCCAACCGCAACCGGAGTTAAATTTGGTTGTAGATTTATAAAGTGGCGTCCCACAACCTGCACAATTATAGATCCCTTCACCAAAGAACTTGTCATATTCCCCGGTGCCTTTCAGCCTGTATATCAGCAACTTATAAGCAACGCAATATGCCAATTGACTCAATTGGTATCCAACACAAGTCATCTACGGAATCGTATATATTGGAAGACATTTTGGATCAGTTGCATGCATTTATTGTAAGCATAGATCAAAGTGTCTCACAGTGACAGTCTTCACACAAGGAATTATAATTCCAACTTAACAATCAACGATAATTCTAGCAGCAAGTGGTTAGTGCAACTTTTTAAACCATTCAAATCTGTACTACCAACTACCAACTACCAATGAAGACCTATGCATTTGGGAATTGCCTTGTATTCTTATTATTTTATGTAAATTAAGGGAGTGGATAACCTTCATTATGCCGTTGAATGTGCCAAACATTAGAGTGGGCACTGGGCAATATGTAATAATCTAATACCTGTCCTTTGTGCCACAGAACTAGCTTAGTAATCGGATTGTGCACTGATTAGTCACAATAATTCTTGGGATAAAATCGAATTGTTTAGTCACAATAATTCTTGGGTTAAACCCAAAAACACTAAATAAATAAAGAGGAGGGTTGAATCATCTAATACCATTTTTTTTCCTTGTTTAAGGAGTGGTGGTGGTGGAAGGTATTTTTGTCGGCAAGACAATTCAGTAGTAAAAATTCACATAAAATAGCCAACAAAGAATGCATACTTACAATTTCTCCATCATAAAATGATTGTGATAATTTTATAGGAGAAGCGTTGGGGGAAGGGATTTTCGTTGGCATCAACAACTTTTAGTCAAACTTACATTAACAAGTGACGGATATTTTCTATCACAAACCAAAACTATTTAAGCAATACAAGGGTATTATTAAGATAGATGGCCAACACACAATTGAGGTGACCATTTTAACCATATTAGCTAGAGTATCTTTTAGGGTGAACGACAAATACACTCCATCAAGTTAATGAAAAATAGCTCCCCTCTTCCCTCTGCAACTCAAAATTCTCCCCTTTTGGAAACTTAGTGACAGATTCCCCCAATGTTAGCATTCTCAGTGTCCATCAAGTATGTAACCCAGGAGACGTAATTTTAAAACCTAAAATCCAAAAAAGTGCAAATAATGCAACTAAATCACTAACCACCACATAATCACCATTTTTTATCAAATGATCATTGCCGGATCAGTCACATCACCACCATTATGAACACCACATGGCATTGGCGTCAGTTCGATGTGGCTTGACAGTGCAATTTGCTGGCAACAAAACAAGCACAGAACATGCAGTTTCCTCAATCCTCTCAATTCCCATTCCATTTGACTTCTCTGTCTGCCTTCTCCGCACTGCTTTCGATCCCAATGGGAGGTGACAATTATATATGTATTTGCAACTATATATACACAAGTTTAAAACTAAAGCACCTTATCACCTTCCACTAAAAATCTAAAGCACACCAGCATAGCTCAAATATATGCCGAATAAGACCATATATCAGATTAGATCAAATTCTTAGTAGATTCATCCACAACATCTGATGGAGCCCTCGTGGATGCATTCCCGGATTGGTATGGTCTAATCAAAAGTAAACAATAGAGCAGAGAGAGGAATTAGGGAGAGAAAGAGAGTCTAGAGGGAGAAGGAAGAATAAACGCGTTCCAGAGAAATAAAATGCCAAAAGGGACTGTAATCTCTATATGTTCAGCAAACAAACTCCCTCTGTCTGCTTCTCTACAAAAGTCTATCTATTATCTCCACAATAGCCTCTTCTAAAGACTGATAATGCTCTGTTTTCTTTTGCATTTAATTTACTGTGAATTGATGAGGACAAGCATGATTAACGACACCTCTCTATAAGAAATGACATATAATCCCAATTTCTAAAGTCCCTCATTCTCTTAACACTTTTATCCTCCCTCCATAATTTTGACAGCTCGCTCTCTCTCCCTCTCTCTCTCTCTCTCTCTCTCTCTCTCCGAAATTTCTGCAAGTTACCACTTCCTAAATTTCAGTTTCTGTTTCTAATTTTGTGTTTAAATGGTGGCCATGGTGTATTCCTAGCTTTGGTGCATGAATGTTTAGTAAATGAGTCGCTATTTTAAGCTATGTTACATGGACATGTGTTTTATGCACAGTTATGTTATAAAATTATCAAATGCTTGCTAGGTGCATACCCAACCAAACATGTTGGGCACATATCTCGTGCTTTGTGTTCGACAAAGGTACTTCATGCATTGGGAGAGTCAAAACATTGATTTCAGGTGAATGGTAGCAGCAATGGTGGATAGAGAGAGAGAAAGTAAACGAGAATTAAAAAAGCTGGTGGGTTAAATGGTAGAAATGGTAAACTGGGTGTGAAAGAAAACTTATCACTTTCTCATTGTTAAACACATATGTGATTAAGTTTCTATATATATATATATATATATATATATATTAATTTGAACAAAACCAGGTTTTTCAAAACAAAATTTAGTTGTGAAGTAATATAATTGTTAATTATACATCTTAGAACCAAATTCGTTTTATTAAATATTATTTATTAGAGGGCTAACTGAAGTAGATATAGTTATGGTGGTCTGGGTGGTGGAGGCCTGTAGTGATGGAAAATGTAGAGGTGGGCAGTGATTAGTGCTATAGTGAAGGTTATTTTTACTAAAGAAAAAAGGTTGTGGAAAGTTAGGGTCTAGTAGTGGAGTGGCGATGGTAGGTTCAAGAGATGTAGTACAGTGCTGGTGCGTGAGGTTAATGGTGATGCCTTGGCAGACATTGAGGATTGTAAAAGTGACAAGTTGGAGTGGCCTAGATAGAGAGAGGATAAAAGAGAAAGGAACAATGAGAGAGAGAGAGAGAGATTTAGTTCTTAGCCGTTCGGCTCGTTCTTTTAATGGAATATGTAATTGTTCTGTGAGGGTAATATGGTAACCGGGCACTTCATCTCCTTCTGAAGGAATCTGCCCATAAGTTTCAAAGAGTAGGTAGGAAGCTTTCACAAGGTCTAATTACCCATAAAAAAAATAAAAATAAAAAGGCTTTCACAAGGTCTGGAAGAAGTTGCAAATTCTAAAAAACCCAATCGGGTGCAATTGTGACATCTGGTATTGCCATATTTCAATAATCTTACTGGGTGTTTTTGTGATTTATACTAGCTTTTAAGCCTTTTATCGACACAGACAAAAGGGAAGCATGCATATAAAACTACAAACAGATGGATAAAACAGAGATGCTCATAAAAATGCTGGTAAATCACATCACATATCCATCCAAAAAAAAAAAATAAAAAAATACCTGAGACTTTTTTTTTTTTTTTTTTTTATTCTTTTGTAAATAACCCCCTTGAAGACTTGAAGTGCTAATTTGGAAAAAGAAACCCTAAAATTTCTCAAAATGCCTAAAATTTCTCAAAATGCAGCTACCACCCTGTTGTTTGTCTACTGTTAGAAAATAGACAGAACTGTAATCACATGCATTGCATGTCACTGATATTTTATAATTGATAACCAATGTACCCTTTTAGTTATCAATAATGCCAATAAATCATTTGTACCTAATATATCTGATCTGAATCCATTTTTTGACCAGCACAACTAATTGTCTTTATCTTCTCTTTCTCTCTTTCCCCATTTATCTTCTCAGTTCTCTCTCTCTATTCTCCAACATTTGTCTACTCAACCGCCATTGGACCACCAAGGATACATGGCCTTCTCTTTTTCTCTCTATCCATTCTTTGCAGACATGCCCATATCCATGCTTCCCAACAACAGAACTACTGATTACTAGAAACTACTTTTTAGACACGAATATATCTTGCTTTTCATCACAACTTTTCCAAATGCAAATATCAATTTCTAAGCTAGCTTAATTGGAAGTGAATTGCCACATAGTTTTCTTTCTCTTTTTACTTATTATTTTTTGTTTTCCCAAATTTAATGATTGCAATCAGGAAATCAAAATTTGATATTGTATTTAGAAACTTGGTTCTTTTTATCATACTTTTGTTTTCACGAGGCTATCAATTGCAAAGGAGCAAAATTAATAGATCACAGCAACAGCAACAGTGGATTTAACAAATGACAATTGTGGGTGGTGCAATCCTCTTCTCACACTTCAACCTCACCATATTAATGATCATCAAGACATATGACATCAAAAGAGAGCAAGAAATTTTTCGAAAATAGAGTTTTAGATAGAAAAATCAGAGAGGCATATGTATATATGAATTTATGGATCAAGTTTGAATTTTCTCCGCTTCAACCATCACTGTCTCTCTCTAAAATCCCATTAACAAACTCGTTTGATTGTTCAAAACAATATCCATGTCGGTCCATTTGGCTCTTGCCACAAAGACTTCTGCTTCCATTTCTCTTTCTACCTACTTTCTCTCTGCTGCAGACTGATGTCTAGAGCCGGTGCAGGCTGCAGCCATTGCCACCATTTATCACTGGAGTCAGAGGGGGTAACCTAGGTTTATAAATGAAGAAGAAAAAGAAAGTAGATGGGTGTATGAAATGTGTGGGTCATTCTTAATGGCTTTTCATTCCTTTGACACGTGACAAATTGTATTGAAGATATATATTTTTATTAACTACCTTTACAACACAATGAAGTCTACTTAAGACCATTTCATAATTTTTCTTCGCATGTTACAGCAACCTGACTTTGTGTCCTTGTCTGCACATTTTTATAATTCAGGGGTTTTTTTGCTCGGTCAAGGGGGTATTTACAAATAGCTAATTGTGTGAGGGAGTTTTCTGCATTTTACCCTTAAAATTATATTAGATGTATATAAAACCTTGTACACTTTATGCTGTAGAATTTTGGCCATTCAAGGAATATATCAATTTAACGAGCATAGTAGTGATACTGAGTGGCATGAAAGGAAATAAATGCAAAAGGGTAGAGCTGGCACTAGTATGTGATAGGAGAAATAATTTACTAAAATGGTTTAGTCTCAGACATTGAATACCAATGGAAGTAGAACAAGGGTAAACAATGAGGTTCAAGTCCAATATTCTAAAACCCAAAAGGATTTGCTTTAGGCAGCAGGGAAAATCTTATAAGCTGACCCCAGGTAATTGGGAAAAAGGCTTTGTTGAGTTCAGTGGGAAAAAAACTTGTAAGTTTATTGTACCATATGGTCTCAAGAGTTGCATAGCAGAACAGGGTTACTACCAGACTAAAATACTCAAAATAAATCATTTTTTTGGATTCAGTTTGACGTTTTTGTATGAACTATCAACTCCTGGATAAGAAGAAATAGAAGAGACGATGAAATAGAAGAGATGATATTCAATACTATAGGAAGGTAAAGCAATAGTGGATACACGTTTTGTACAATACTTGGTTTGTTCAAAAGTTCTCGGGCTCCTACCAATGCACTAATTTAAGGTGATGATCGCACTAGTGCCTTGGAACAACCCAGTGAGCTGAATTTGCTGACATGTTGCCTAGGCAAGTGCCAAGTAAAGGGTCCCGCGTAGGTTTGTCTCACTACTTTAAAAGGAGGGGCACTTTTGTCCAGATAGTTCTACAGTGTAAGAAAGAAAGTAAATGGAATCAAGTAGCTGACCATGTTTGATTAAGGCTGGAATCTCAAGAGGAGAGTGACGAAGAAGAAGACCCATGTCTGATTAAGGCTGGAATCTCAAACAACTAAATCATATTCTAACTCATCATCAGTTTTCTATTTCTATAACTATATTCTGATCTCACAGTTTACCGGTTTGCTTTGACATTAACCAGGAAATTGAAGGGCTTCTTCCTAAGAGGCACTAACATTTAACAGGTATTGTGGAGATGAGTCCTACACTCTGTGGACGCATTCACGTTTCAAACAAAATCTATTGTTTCGAACGCTAGGAAGACACATCTCAAAGAACTTCCAAACACAAGCTTTACATAGCACAAAACGTCTAAAAAGGAGCATTGTCTGACAATCTTGAAAATAAGATGAACTTCAGCCAAAAGTGTCAAAGTTTCTTTCTTTAAAGAAAATTGACACCACAAACATGGCTATCGCAAGTCAAACAGGCATTGGAAATTTTTCTTTTCTTTTTTTTCCTAAAAAAAATTGGAATGTTGTCAATGTAAAATTAAAATATAATAGTAGAAAAGTAGACTAGTAGTAAAAAAAATAAATTAAAAATCTAAATGATATTTGTGCAACTTCATCCTCCACATTATGCAATTCTCCTTCTGACCTCACCACTCCACCACCAAGTTGTAGTATTTGACTTCATAAGAAATAAGAACACAACCACCAAGTTTGTTGTGTGTGTGTGTGTGTTGTGGGAAGAAAGAACACTGAGAACAACAAAGAATACCAAAATAAAGCTCAATTCCTCAACAATCATCCATAAAAATCTTGCCCAATTGACTAAGAATTGTTATTGAATTGATATTTACCTTTGCATTCCTAGAATAAACATATATCACTAAAACCTGGTTTGCCCTCTCTAGCACCAAAGAATTGGTTGATCCAAGGTCATACCCATTAGATCAATCATTAGCAATTTTTTATTAGTGTAATCAATTTTCAGTTTGTTCCATCATAACATGAACAATAAACTCAAAGCTCGAAATATCTTAAAAGTTCCAAGGAAAAGAAAGTCAGCAATACAACTCAATAATCAAAATACTGTTTACTTAAACATGCGCTAAGAATCACCAGAGCCATCAAATGGGTATATAGCCAAAACCCAACCCACAATCATAATTCCATAACGGTCATTTGATCAAAAACACCAAGCAACAAAATGAAGTTTAACCTAATTAATGTATTTTCAATGCCAATCCAAAGATGAAACAAAGGGCATGAACCCTAATTAAAATTAAGAGCTATATGAAGACACATAGGTGCTTGTGTGTGTAATATGTGTGTGTTGGTTCAAAACAAGTGTGAGAAACAGTGGTATTACTCTGTTCCTTTCTGGCGTAGGATCCGAAACTGCTCCGGAGAGAGAATAGCTCGCCATTCTTCTTCTGATTTCTGACCCGAACCAGGAGCGGCCATGGCTAACTTCTAGTACTGAAAAGTCAACAAACTAGACGCGGTTTGGTCGGGAAACCAATATAAATTTTCCGGGAAAATGAACTTGGCTGGAAAATTGGGTTAGAGGGGGCTTATTAATGCATATAACCCTGGTAAGTGTGAAAAGGAAAAAATTAAAAGGACAACTCAGCAGAAAGAAACAGAGAGAATGTTTGCCTTTTAGCTCGCCCATTTCATGTATCTGATCTATCTCTTAAAGTGGAGGGTTTAAGTAGGGTGGCCATGAATTGGATCGGATCGGATTGGGCATCAATTCTAATCCGATTCGTTCGCAACGGATTAGGAGATTTTGAATCCGTCACCAATCCGTTAGTCCATGGATCGGATCGGATCGGATCCGTGAAATGACGGATCGGATCGGATCCAATCCGCGGATTGTATCTTCTGAACTTGTCATCTGCGAAGAAAAGGAAAAAAGAAAAATTTAAGATTTGAAATTTAAGAAAATAAAGAAAAAACAAAACAGAAATTATGAATAGCTACATCTATTGTTTTAACTCACGGATTACCATAACAATTATCTTTTGCATTACAAGAAATATGAACAAACAATCTTTTAATCCGGACAAACCAAGAGTATTAAAATTTTAAATATTAGTTTATGAATTAACAATGGTAGCTTTGTAGTTTTTAAAATTATATTTTCAGAAAATTCAATAAAACATCTTTAATTTTTTCAGCAAATCTATAGGTATATAGATAGTACGTACGCTGAAAAAAAAAAAAAAAACAAAACATATATGGGTTATTTATAGCAGCAAATCCAAGGACCAAGGGACTGTTAACACCAAAAAGAGAGTTGAAGCAAAAAAAAAATTCACAAGAGGATAGAAAAAAGTCCAGCCACACAAAGGCTTTTTAACATTCAGCAAGTTCATCAATGTGACTGCAAACATTACACCAAGAAATAATACATGAAAAGGCAATCAATTCAGAGATTGATAAGAAGAATTTTTTTCTAATCCAGATTCCATATCATATCTAAAGAAGAAAAGGAGTACAGTAAGGCGTAAGCGTTCTTTGAGAATCCAGATCAGCCAAGACTTGATCTAATCTGCTCTATCCTAGCCCGTTTTGATTCGGTGAAGGAGACGGCAACAGAAGTGCAGAACTGAAAAGGAGCTCACTGAGGCAGCCGCTTTCTCTTCTTTAGCTAGGTTTAGGTTTTAATGTTTTATGAATGAGAAAAGTCGGTGGTATCAGTATGTAATATGTATAATACTTACCAAAAAAAAGAAAATAAAAAACGCAAGGTATCAGGTATGTGGCACACGGATTGCCACGGATAGAGTAGATTGCTATATATATATATATATATTTTATGGATTACCCACGGATTGCCACGGATCGGATCGGATTTTTGATAGCCTAATCCGTGATCCGATCCGTGAACTACGGATTCAATTTTTTTGAATCCACCACCGATCCGTGGGTTTGGTAAGCCGATCCAATCCGTACGGATCGGATCGGATCGGGTTCGTGGATTGGCGGATTTTTTGCCCACCCCTAGGTTTAAGTCTCCAAATGTTAAGTGAATATCTATTGTTTTATTGTTTAAGTATCTGTTGTTGTTGACGTGGCAAAAATAATCTGAACAGTAAGTAGTATTGCGACAACATATCACTAATCACAATAACCACTTCACACTACTGACAAACACGGCCTAATTACAATAATAATTTTAGTGCCAAACACGGCCTTACCCACGCTTTCTCTCTCTATACGCTATCGTCCTCCTGTAGCCGAGGATAGTGCCGACCAATAGCAAACTCTGGCAGTCAATTTCGCCGACCAGTTGGGTCTTCAAGGGAGTTTACGGTTTGTATGATGCTTGCTAGAAATTTTGTCAATTGTGTCTGTTTCTGGTTCATCGGAGACTTCATTGGTTCTGGTCGATGCAATTGCATCGTTAATGCTTAAAGCTTCTCGCTGACGGTTATGGAGTTTAAGGTTGGGCTCTCATCGGTTTCGCTGCAATTGTGTCATTGATGCTTTAGAGCTTCTCCGGCGATCTCCATCATCATCTCCATGCTCACCCGGGTCAACTCAGTTCCCACCAAACTTAGTCTCAAACTCACTAAACACAACCCTTAGTTGTGTGGTGGCCTCTGCAATGGTGAATTGAGGATTGTTGCAAAAAGGATCGCAAACGGACCCTAAAACCAGAGAACACTCATATAGATACCAACGAAGTATAAAAATTAAAACACAATTACACATTAGTGGTGACCTCTGCAATGGTGGGGCAACTGGTGGAGACGGCGGTCGGCTTGATGGGCCGTCTTCTTCACAGTGATTCAATAAGTAAATAAAAAGTTGAGAAAGCGACTGAGTCGACGGCCATGTGAGATCGCAATAGTCTCGAATAGCCAAACCAAAGGCCACCACAGCACTACCATCCCCATCTCCAGAATCGCCACCACCATTCCAACCTCAGAACCACCACCATCACCATCCAACACCATTATAAACGCCTCCACCACCACCTCCCTCTACCTCTTCCATTGAACCCCTAATTTCCCACCTTCTTCATCAATGAATACCCTCATCGTTGCCACCATGTACCTATTTAGTCCTTCTTTTTATCCCAATTTGATCCCAATTGCTTCAAATTCTGTGATTCCGATTATAAATTTGATGATGGTGGTTATGGCTCCCTCGCAGTAGTGATGTGTTTATGGAATGGAATGGTGGTTAGGGGTGTGAACGACGTCTTGTGCATTAAAAGGTAAAATTGTCATTAAAAATATAATCTTTAAGTTTTAATTTAACATTAACTAGTAAGGTCAAATTCGACATTTCACAACCTATTTAATGGGTCGGACTCAGATATTGGGGCAATGTGATCAGTGTAAGAATTTTTGGAAACAAGTTGGGATTTTATGATCAAATTTTAAAAGTAGTGGAGATTTTATGATTTTATCCCATAATAAAAATAAAAAAATTGGTGGCTATGGTGACCATGGCTACTCCTATTTTGTGGTGTTTCTTGTATAGGAGCATTTATCACAATCAGTGGCGACCTGCAGGAATCAAGTAGTGGCGGTAGAGGATGAGGATGGAAAGCTCACTTGGTAGGGGAAATAGTTTTAAGAAGGATATTTTGGACCTTAAGAATAAATTTTGATGTATTTGTAATTATTATGTTTAATTCAATTAATTTGAAAAATAAAATTTAAAAATAGACCATTTTGTTATTTAATACTCCTAACTCTATATATGTGTAACTTTTACAATATCTTTTATATTTTTATTTAATATAATATAAAAAATCTATTAAACCAAAAGACACTACTATGCTTTTATTTATTTTTTCCTATCTTGTAAAGATTATCTTAACCTACTTAATTCCTTATCTTTTTTGAAAAAAAAAAAAAAAAAACCTAATCAAACCCTAAAAGTAACATAGTAAAAGGTCATTAATAAAATAAAATAAAATTGTAAAATTTATTAATATAAAATTGGTAAGAAAATTGATACTTACATTTCAATGACATTTAATGATGTTTTTGTCCTTTCATGTTAAAATATAAGGTTATTGAGATCTTTTTATACAAGAAAATAGGGGTACACACGGTTCAATTTAGACTGATTTAAGAGTTTTTTTTGGAACCAAACCAATTTTAACAATTTCATAAAATTTGGAACCAAACCAAACCATTTGACCAAATGAACCAAACCAAATCGAATTGTGAAAAATTGGTTCGATTCGGTTCGGTTCAGTTCCATGGTTCCTTTTTTTCTTTCTTTCTTGTTACAGAAGTATTCATATTTCAAAATCCAGATACACAACAATAAACCAAATTACCAAAACATTCATAACTATTAATATATTCAGAACTTTCAATTCATTCTTCTCTGTGATGGGCCCAAGTTTTCAAAACTCGGTTCTTTAATGAGTGACCCGAAATTGACCCGATACTGGATCCAAAATGCGAAAATGAAAGAAGAAATGAGGTCTTTAGAGATGTACATCACCTTTAAGACACCAAAGTGACTTCCTGAGGATTCCCGAGACCTAACGAAAGCAAATGCAGAAGCTAAGGTTTCAAAACCCGACAAGAGAAAGACTAAGGGTAAAATGGTTATTTTATCCCAAGTGAAGTGGATGTGACTTATGACAAGTCAAAGAGATCAAAAATACCCAAAACAACCATTGGTAACCTCATATAAGGTCCTGAGGTCAACAGAAGAGAAAACCCTTGGGAACCTATCCCGGTTCAAACCAAACTTTGACACTCTCTCACTAAAATGAGGATATCTCAAGTTAGGAGTAAAATATGAAACTGTAATTAGTACCACTGGAAATCTTACTTCGACGTGGTCCATTTAGACTCAAGAACGGACTAATTCAGAGTTAAAACGAAAGAGTTATGATAGTTTGAAGTTGAAAGGCCAAAGCTGAGAATCTGTAACACAAAAAGGTTCTGGGGAACCTGAACTGGTTCAGGACCCTTGAACCGGTTCAACCTGGGAAGAGTGCCCACGTTGAACCCCAAAATGACACTTGAACCGGTTCAGCCCCTCTAAACCGGTTCCACCAAACCAAAAAGTGGAAAAACAGCAGAAAACCAAAAGAAAACCTAAATTCTAAAATTGTGTGGGAAAAACCAAGTGTAAAAGAAACTTTTTTGGAAAAAAAGGTGTGAAGCAACACCCCCCCCCCCTAAAATTATGTTTTCTATATGAACCATGTCAAAAGAAATTCTTATTTTTCAAGTGAAGTACCTAAAATGCCCTTTTGCGCATATTTTGCAAAAAATGAAAATACATTAGTCCAAAGAACATCCATTTCGTCAAATGTGATGTTGTGTGCAAAAGTGAACATGCACGCAAATGTAATATGTATTTTAACACGCGCTACAATGGCTCAAGGCCTCAAAAAATGCCAAATACAAAATATCATACGTTAAACCTCTAAGTTCTCAAAATTACTTTCAAAAGTAAGACACGAATCCAAAGGAGCATACAAGTGAACTAAAATTGTTTGGCCCTTGGCCACATATCATACATATAAAAAGTGTCTTAAAGAGTGTGCTTAGGCACACTTTACATATTTCAAATTAAAAACAACATGTCATAACCAAGTTATACATTACAACT